TTCTCCATGGAAGATACACAGTGCCTGTTGTGTTATTTGTGTTTTTCTATATTTCCTATACTTTGCAAACAAAATCATATGGGAAAAAAGCAGCTATTGATAATTGATTGATTGCAGTAATGAATATTGAACCTAGGGCCTCACACATGCTAAATAAGTGTTGCATTGCTGAGCTATATCCCCAGAAGAGTAACTGTAGATTTTTATATTTGAAAACAGAACTTAATTTTTAAAAACAATGTTGTATTGCTTGGTCTGTAATTCTAGCTGTTTGGAGGCTGAGGAAGGAGGACCACAAGTTCAAGTCCTACTTGGAGTACAGAGTGAGTTCAAGGCCAACCTGAGGAACTAAAAAGTCTCTGGCTCAAAATAAAAACCAAAGAAGGCTGGAGATGTATTTTAGCAGTATAAAACTAGGCTAGATGAGTTTGAGGCCAGCCTGGTCTACATAGTGAGTTCCAGGACAGCTGGGGCTACAAGGAGACCCTGTCTCAAAAAAGACAAAACAACAACAACAACAACAACAAAACTAGACTAGGATCTACCAGTGAGGGGCTGGGGGCATGGCTCAGTGGTAGGGCATATGCCTAGAATTCCATAGTGAAAGTCTGGGGACATAGCTCAATGGTAGAACACCTGTCTACAACCTACTAGTGAGGGACTGGAGGCATGGCTCCGTGGAAGAGCACATGCCTAGAATCCCCTAATGAAAGTTTGGAGTTGTGTTTCAATAGTAGACAGCATGTAAAATATTCATCTATGAGAATCTGGGGGTGAGTCTTGGGGATGAGTGACTCAACTGTAAATTCACTGGCTTAGAAGACATTAATGATGGTATAAGCATAGGCCTTAGTGACAGAGTACATACCTGTAGTTAATTGGCAATAGCACACACACACACATACACACACACACACTACACAGAGTTGCATTATCATTATTTTGTTCCTTTGCAGTCTCTCTGGGCATCCTCAGTTTTCTATATCAATCTCCAACACACAGAATTTGTTAAAGCAATATATGTAAGTGGGTGTGATGACACTTCCAGGAAATCTCAACTCTTAGGAGACTAAAGCAGTAGAATTCTAAGTCTGAGGCCAGCTTGTAATATATAGACATGCTGCAAAAAGAGAGACACACAGAGAGAACCAGAGGCCGTGAACTAAATTTGCTCAGCATGCTGTAGAAAAACTGCTGAACTATGGCTTCCATATAATAATTGTTAGGCAAAGGCATAGCTCAAATAAGTGAACTCATAACTCATCACTCTCTCTTTCTCTTTCTCTCTCTCACTGTGTGTGTGTGTGTGTGTGTGTGTGTGTGTGTGTGTGTCTGTTTCTGTCTCTCTCTCTCTAAGGAAAACAAGAAAATATCTCAGGAACAGGAAATAAGATTAGATTGTGAATATAATTTATGATTTCTAGGGAGTAAGCACAGCAGAACGTACCTTCAGTGCTAGTAGGTAATGTGGATGTCAGAGAGCCCTTGCCTGGTCTGGCAGTGCCTCCATGTGGGTCTCCATTAGGTATCTTTGTGTGAGGTTTCAGGACATCATCCGTTTCTGCAGATGAGAGTAAAGAAGGCAGGGGTCATTCATCTCTTCAGAGTGTACTGTCTAAATGGAACATTTCATTGAGTATATCTCATTCTTTTTCTCAAGTCTGTGACTGTGACCTTGAGTCACAACTACATGTAGCCATATCCATCTCTACCTCTGACTATAAATTCACCCATCCTTCCAGCTATGTGTAAATCTGTCTTTCCTTCTACCGTTGCCTTCTTTTATCCTTGCTTCCTACTCTCCATCCTTTATTTCTGCTTGCTTTCCTTATTTTTTTCCCTTTTTTCTGTTTTTTTTTTTTTTGTGTGTGTGTGTGTGTGTGTTTGTGTTTGGTTTGGTTTTACAGAGGGTCTCAGGTAGCTCAAGATTGCATTAAACTTGATTTGTAATTGAGAATGATTTAAAACTTCGGATTCAACTTCCTCTACTTCCTAATTGCTGGGATGGCAGGTGTGGACCACCATGTCCAGTTTATACTGTACTAGGAGTAGAACCCAGAGCCTTGTGCATGCAATGCAAGACAAGTGTTCTACCAACTGAGCCATATCCCCTTATTGTTTCCGTCTGCCCTTCTTTCCTTCTACCTTTACTGAATTTTGTCCTTTTTCATTTTATTTTTTGGTTTTATATTATATTTTAATTTAATTTAATTATGAGGCAGGGTATGAGTGTATCTCAGGATGGCCTTGAGTTTCTGATCCTCATTCTTTCTTTCTTTTCATTTTTTCCATCTATCTATTCACATTTCCTTCCATTCTTTCCTTTTATCTATCTATTTTTCTGTTCATGCTTCTGTACCTCCATCTCCACATCTACTTTCTTTTTTGTTTCTCAAAAATGAGACAAGGTCTCACACAGCAGCCCAGGCTAGCCTGGAACTTAATATGTAGTCCTAGGCTTGGCTGGAACTCAAGACAATCCTATTGCCTCAGCCTCCCAAGTTCTGGGATTACAGATATGTGCAACCATACCCAACACAAACTTCTATATAATTACCTTGTCCTCATCTCTTGCTTAATAAACTTCCATGATTCCCATGATTCACTAATGAACAATGAGTCAAAGCACCCCAAGCATGTGGGGGTACATGCCTGTAATTTCAACTCAGGAGGCTGAAGCAAGGAGAATCATAATTTCAAGGCCTGCTTAGGCTGTGGAAACACACTGTCTAAAACAGAAACATGAATCAATAACTTCAAATATCTGTGCCTTCATTGTGAGTTGTTCAAGCTAGCTAAGCCCATTATCAAACTCTTTCTTTAGAGATTGTTGAATGAAGGAGAGGATGTTGTTGGAGGACTTCCTTAGACTTCTGTCAACAAAATTTGGCAACAGATATAATCTTTTTATGAGAATAAAATTTCTAAGAGAGGGATCTGGAGAGATGACTCAGCTGTTAAGAGCATTGGCTACTCTTGCAGCAGGCCCAGGTTCAAGTCCCAGCACCCACATGGCAGCTAACAACTGTCTATAACTCTAGTTCCAGGGGAATCCAACACCCTCTTCTATCCTCTGTGGGCACTGCATGACAATGCACTTATACACATGCAAGCAATATACTCATACACATAAAATAAAAACAATAAGTAAAATGTTTTTTAATTCTTAAAAGGTCTCTTCCTTTACTTGCTACTAATTTGAAAGTGTTATTTCATTTTTTGGGTCCTTCCCACATCATTTTCATTCCTTCCATCTTCATGAACTCATGTTTTCTTTCTTACTTTTTAACTGTTCTTACTATAGAAATGTTCAACTCAAAAGAGCCAAAACTCTTCCTTGAGCCAGGTCTAGTGGTGCAGGCCTGTAGTCCCTGCTGTGTGGAAGGCTGTCACAAGAGTGCTTCAAGTTCAAGGTCAGGTTTAAGGTCAGGTTAATCTCCTGAGTGAGTGCAAGGTCAGCCTGGGCCACCCGATCTCAAAATAGACACATAAAAGAAGGTCTGATAGCATAGCTCAGTGGTAGACCATGTGTCAATCTCCAGGGAACATCACCAAAAACAAAGCAGAACAAAATCTCCCCCTTGAATCTAGCCCTCCGTGTCTCACTGATACATCCTCTGAGGATCCCCGCATTGCTTCTCACTTTATGTCTACTTGAGTTTTCTGTAGTATTTGACAGAACTTATCATCTCTGCCTAAAACTGTCTTCCTATGGCTACTATAAAGCCAGAATCTCTTGTGTTTCCTGCTGACTTTTTTGTTTTTTTTCCCTGTCTTTTTGAGACAGGGTGTCCCTGTAGCCCCAGCTGGCCTGGAACTGGCTATGTAGACCAGGCTGATCTCAAACTCACAGAGATTTGCCTGCCTCTGGCTCCCAAGTGCTGGGATTAAAGGTGCGCATCACCATGCCCAGCTTCCTACTGATTCTTGAATCACTCCTTCCAGATTAATGGTTTTGAGGATAAATTCTTACTTACATACAGTTTGAGTTCTTTTTTCTGGAGGGGGTTTTGCTTGGGATCAAATCCAGGGCATTTTGTATAGTAGGAAAGCATTCTAGCACTCAGGTATACCCACAGCTCTTGGGCTTTTCAGACAGGGTTTCACTGCACAGCCCATTCTGGCCTTGAATTCATAGACTTCCTGCCTCGGCCTACCTTGTGATGGGATGACTGGCACGCACCACCATACCTGGCTAAGTTCCAATCTTTGTCCTCTCAAATTTTAGCTTTATGACCTTGAGCAAACTGACTTCTACATTTCTTAGTTTCATCACCTGCAAAATAAGCTTGCAATACTAATTTGAATGTTCTAATGAAGATTAAAAACCTTAACACTATCTATTCCTGAATTTCAGCCCGTCTCCTGAGTAATATTATGATTAGCTCTTCAGAGGGGAAATGTTGCAGTAACATTAAAGGCCTATTAAAAGAAAGCTATTCTCAGGCTGGAGACATGCTCATCTGTTAAGAACACCGATTGCTCTTGCAGGGGACCCTGGTTCTATTTCTAGTTCCCACAAGGTGACTGACTCATAATCACCTGTAACTCTAGTTCCAAGAGATGTGACACCTCTTCTGGCCTCCCTAGCTATGCAAGTGGTACACATTCACACATGAATGCAAAACACTCATATACACAAAGATAAATAAAAAGCATAAAATAAAGATAAATAAATCATTTTTAAAAAGAGATGGAAAGAAGAGAGAAAGCTGTTTCCTTCTGGTCAAGAGACTATAAACCTAACATTCCGGGTGGATGGGTCAATCACCTGGCAAAGGAACCAACCCTCACGTAGGTGGAAGTAAAAAGCTGCCACAAGGCTCTGTTGGGTCTGCCCAGCTTAGAGCTGTAACTTTTCCTTTTTCTTCTCTTCTTTCTCTTTTTTATTGAGATTCCAGCCAGAGCCTAAGTATTTTTTTTCCTGGTAGTCTGGGCTCCCTTACTCTTTCTCTGAAGCTCCGCTCGCCCTCTGTGCCATGTGGCTGCTTGTCCACCATGTGGCTGATCTCCATGCCTCCCTAACTCAAACAATATGGTTTTCACTCCCTCCTCTTCTCTATCCAACCACCTCTGGGACAGTGTCAAGATACACAGTTGCCTACTTTGATGCTTTTCCTATAAACTCTGATAAAATTATCCTCAAGCTTAAAAAAAAAATTTTAAAAAAAAGTTAAAAAATAAACCATAATGAAATAGCGCCTGACATAGAAGTAAGTGCTGTATAAGTGCTTAGCTGCCACACATCGTCACTGTTAGTCAACATCATTAGTAATCATACTACATCACCAATATTGCTGCTATAATTATTTACCTTCTTTCTTATTTGTCTATGTTTTGTCTGTGCCTAGCTTAGTATTTGCACTTGACTGATGCTAATAAATCAACAAATATTTTCTAAAAGGACTTCTGGCATGGGGTAGACAGAGGGTATAGCATAGTGGTAGAGCATTTGTCTAGCTTGTGCAAGGCCCTTGGCTCCATTTGTAGTACCATACAGAAAGAGATTCATATTGTAGAAAAGATGGACAGATTTTTAAGCATATAGCATATGCAATAGAGTTTTACTAAGCCCCACAAAAGAATTAAATAAAGTCATTTGTAGGAAAAAGGATGAAACTGGAAAATGTCATATATGGTTGTTTGAATAAGAAATAGACTCAATAGGCTCAAGTATATCAATACTTAGACCCAATTGGAGGTGCTGTTTGGGGAAGTCATAGAACCTTTGGGAAGAGGAGCCATGCTGGAGGAAGTTCATCACTGGAGGTAGGTTTAAGTGTCAATAACCTTGCTCCACTTCCAGTTCACTCACTGCTTTCTGCATGTGGTCCAAGATGAATCTCTCAGCTTCCTGCCCTGGCTATCTGCTGCCATGTCTCCCCTGACATTAAGGACTCTCCATCTGGTACTGTAGCCCCAATAAACTCTTTCTTCTATAAGTCACTTTAGGTCATGGTGCTTTGCCATAGCAACTAATACACTGTGTTAAACAAAATTAGCTGGACATGGAAAAGAAAATATCAGGGTTTTTTCTCAAGTGGAAATTCCAAAGACCTAAAGATAGAAGACAGACTACAAGAGAAGTGATGAGATCCAGGGGAAGAAAAAAGGGGGTAAGAGTACATAGCAGGAAAGAGTGATATGACTCAGAACACTGTTAAAGCAGGAAAGGAAATAGTAATATGAAACCCTCTAATTTGTACAATTTGTATGATTGAATAATGAAAAGAATAAACACAAATTCGGGTGTAAGAATGCACTAATTTTCTTTGACTTCTTAAGAAAGCCACGCCCCCGAGACTGAGTATAAAAACAGTGACTCCTTACTTGCCAAATGGGTTGAGCATGGAAGAACTGGAAAGGCACTGGTAAGTCTTCCCAAGTCAGCACTCTCAGTCGCCCTGGTTTTCAACATGGAATATAAAGCCGTCTTGATGTCTTGAGTTCTAGGCTCCAAGGTACTAAACATAACCAAAGGATTTTGAAGACTGCTGTTCACTGTTACAAGACTGGTGTCTTCTGTCTCTAAGGAAGCTGAAGATGAAGTAATTCCATGGAGACCAGTGCTGGCTGGGGAGTCAGTGGTAGTAGAGGCAGAAGAGTGTAACTGTGTAGAAGCTGATAAAGGCAGGTTCTCTACAATGGTGGACACCATCGAATTCCCAGGGCTGGGCTCTGTCTTAGGATAGGGACTGCTGGAAGTCACAGATAAGCTGGCTTTTAGTAAGCTTGTTGTGACAAAAGAAGCCATACTTCCTGGAGATGGAGGTGTCAATGTGTCAATAAAAATGGCCTTAGTTGAAGTCAGTCTATCAGGTGTCAGAAGACGGGTACTTTCTGACACAGGCATAGTAGTCAACTTGGACTCTGAGAACGATGTTAACCCAGAGAACTCAACAGAAAATGGAGAACCGTTTAAGTGGGTAACTGTCTCTACTGGAACATGAGTCAACTGTGAAGATGGAGACTGATCTTGGGTTATTTTCATTGGAGCGGTAACGTGGACCTCAGAACTCTGCAAATTGGGAGTGAACACAGGTACTGAAGGTAAATTTGTTGGTGTGGCTGAGCTGCTTTGTAAAGACATTCTAGTGTTCATCCATTCAGAAGTCAGATGGGAAAACAGCTCTGTTGTAGATCTTGTAGTCTCTAAATAAGCAGGCAATGATGTGGACATAGTAGCCACCCATTTGGAGGAATATGTATCCATTGGATAGGTGGTCCTATATGATTCAGAGGCTATTGCTATAGAGGAACTTAGTTCATGCCCCAAACTAGATGTCTTCACATTGGTTACTGTAACACTTGAGGAAGAGTGAAAATTTTCTGTACCAGTAGTGACTTCTGATGTGCCCAGTATTTCAAGTAAGGAGCTACTCAAATTTGTAGATGAACTTGTTCCAGATTCCAAGCTACTGTTCAATGTATCTGTCATCTTCAAAAACCCAGAAGTAGGCACTGAAGTCCCTGGAAAATCAGTGGAGGTTGATATCGGCAATAACATAGAGGAAACAGAAGATGAGGTCTCAGTAGGTAATGCCAACAGGGAAAAGGCAGAACTGGTTTCTTCCATGGTGGGAAGATTCATACTCAATAAAGTAGACACCTGTGAGGGAGGATATTTTGTAGGAACATTTGGATGAGTCCCTGTGGTTGTGGTTAATGTGTCCCAGGTAAGAGTATCCTTTGTTGAAGCCCCAGGAGGAACTAAATGGGTGGTAGTGGCAACTTCTGAAGACTCTGTACTGATGGAAGTGGCAGTTAGCCTTTTCGTTGTTCCATTGGAGATGCCAGGTGGATTAGTCAAATGAGAAAGACCAGAGATAGATGTTCTGGTATAGGGGATGACTTCTTTCCTGTACACCTCAGTAATGGCACCAGTGTGCATATCGTCAAGGACAGTACTTATCTTTGTAGAGGTGGTCTGTTCAAAGATGCTAGACTCACTGGCTTCAGGAGACACAGAAAAACCAGACTCCACTGGAATTATGGTAATCTCAAGGGAGGTAGGGCTGGATGTTGATGCAATGGTCCCCATTATGCTGTGAGAGGTAAAGATTGGAGACTGTTTTATGTACAGCTCTGACTCCATAGGGAAAGTAGAATCTGAGTCATGTCTAGAACGTGCAGGGTCCACCACATTCACTACTGTGCTTGAAAGAGACTGAGCATTCTCTGTCTCTGGAGCTAATTCAGAAGTCAATATCTTTTCTGAATTGTTATACAACTTAAGAGATGGACTGGTAACAGATTCCAAGACGGTGCCCAACACTACTATGGTCTTCAGAGGTCCAGAAATGAGGAGTGATGACACAGGAAGAGAGAAGGTACTCGTATCTGATTGTGTTGAATATGGAGATGAAGGTATGTTTATTGCAGATAAAGACAAAAGTGAAGATTGAGAATTGGTTCCATGCAGAGGGGAGGGGTTTGTTTCTGACAAGCCCTCAGACCTACTATTTGGAAGAGACGACACAGTAAGATATGGAAACCTTTCAGAACTAGGGAAGAACGTCTTTTCCCTGGGCCCTGTGGTTGAGCCTTCCCAAGGAGAGAGGCCATTTGAGAATTGCGATATTGTGTGTGACAGAATCACAGAAGATGTGATATCAGGTGTAATTGATTCAGAAGACTCAGTGTGTCGGAGCAGGGATCTTGGTCTGGTAGTGTCCACCCTGCTCACTGACGTGCTGTAGTAAGTGTAACTTGTTTGTGGTTTTCTACTGTCCTGTGAACTGGTCGGCCCACTGTTGCTCTGCTTGGGGGAAGAACTGGTAAATGAAGCTAAGCTCATGTCTACCCCCTTTGCAGTAGTCTCCCCAGAAGAGAAAGTGGAGGCCATAAGATCAAGAGAGGAGGGACGTTGACGCTGTGAAGTGTAAGCAAACGGGGAAGGTGGTGCTCGTCCAGGCCTACTAGCTGAGGGATCTGAAGAGCTAGTTTTTGGTCGAGGTGGAGAGCTTGTCTGTAATGGTGACTCGGGACTGCCGGGGTGAGGCATGGAGTCTGAGTGTGCAGATGTCTGAGTCGCGGTAGAGAGCTTCCCAACAACCGGGACACTGGTGGATGTGTCCCTGCGAGTGGTGATGTTGGATGATTCCCAAGGAGGACTTGCGGCGCTGTTGTGAGTTTCCAGAAGGATGGCGGTGGAGAAGCTGGAGGAGGACCCTGTTTGGATGTCTCCTGTTTCTGAGGTAGGAACGTGACCTGAAAAGAAAGTTGTGTCACCAGAGAGGTTTTCTGTGCTGGGTCTCCTGGAAGAAGTGCTAGTGGGAGCTGTGGGAAGAACAGCTGTGTCTTCTCTGGAGTGGGCACTCTCCTCAGGAGTGTGGCTGTATGGCACTGTGGTGGTGGGGGAACGGGGTGACCCAGACTCATTCCTTGCATTGCCAGAAGATGCAGACATTAAGGTGGAAACCCTGCCATCCAGGGGGCTTCTCAAAGTCATCGTGGAAGATGTGATAGCAGGTGTGACTGATTGGGAAGACACAGTGTGCTGAAAGTGGGCTGACATCGTGCCAGAGGAAGTGTAACTCGTTTGTGAGTTTCTGGTGTCTTGTGAAGTTGTCGGCGCATCGTGGATCCTGCCTGGAGACCAAGTGGTGGAGGGGGTGAAACTTGTGTCCAAACCCTTTGAAGTCATCACCCCAAAATTGAATGTGGAGGCCGTAGGAGCAGGAGCGTAGGGAGGTTTTCCCTGTGATGAGGAAGCAGCAGAGGAAGGTGATGTTCTGCCAGCAGGTGCTGAGGAATCTACAGAGCTGGTTGTTTCCTGGGGTACGGTGTTTGTTTGTAAGAGCGACTTGCCAGTGCCTGGAAGAGGAGGCACTGAGTGTGAGTGTGGAGAGGCACGAGGCACCATTAAGACAGCCCCTGTCACCGGGACACTACTTGATGTGTGCGGGGAAGTCAAATCCTTGGATAGTTCCACAACATCAACTGTTTGAAAGGTATCAGGTTTTGGAACGAGGGAGGTAGAGGGAATCAAGGGATGTGGACTTGGGTTGGATGTTCTGCCAGGGGAGAGGACTTCTGTACTGGATTTCAAAGGAGTGGTAGCTGGCCACGGAGCATGGTCAGCACTTGTTTTGGAAGGAAAGGTAGTCTTCTCTGGAGCGATGCTTTCTGACACTGGTGGGTTGAAGGAACGATGTGAGTGGGTCTTTATCTCTTCGGTGGTTGATGGCAGAGACGCTAAGTTGGAAATTTCACCGACCTGTGTTATGTGTGGTGTGTTCATAGATGTGGTGGTATCGGGTGTAACTGCTTCAGAGGACTCAGTGTGTCGGAGCAGGGATCTTGGTCTGGTAGTGTCCACCCTGCTCACTGACGTGCTGTAGTAAGTGTAACTTGTTTGTGGTTTTCTACTGTCCTGTGAACTGGTCGGCCCACTGTTACTCTGCTTGGGGGAAGAACTGGTAAATGAAGCTAAGCTCATGTCTACCCCCTTTGCAGTAGTCTCCCCAGAAGAGAAAGTGGAGGCCATAAGATCAGGAGAGGAGGGACGTTGACGCTGTGAAGTGTAAGCAAACGGGGAAGGTGGTGCTCGTCCAGGCCTACTAGCTGAGGGATCTGAAGAGCTAGTTTTTGGTCGAGGTGGAGAGCTTGTCTGTAATGGTGACTCGGGACTGCTGGGGTGAGGCATGGAGTCTGAGTGTGCAGATGTCTGAGTCGCGGTAGAGAGCATCCCAAGAACCAGGACACTGGTGGATGTGTCCCTGCGAGTGGTGACATTGGATGATTCCCAAGGAGGACTTGCGGCGCTGTTGTGAGTTTCTGGAAGGATGGCGGTGGAGAAGCTGGAGGAGGACCCCGTTGGGATGTCTCCTGTTTCTGAGGTAGGAACGTGACCAGAAAAGGAAGTTCTGTCACCAGAGAGGTTTTCTGTGCTGGGTCTCCTGGCAGAAGTGCTAGTGGGAGCTGTGGAGAGAACAGCAGTGTCTTCTCTGGAATGGGCACTCTCGTCAGGAGTGTGGCTGTATGGCACTGTGGTGGTGGGGGAACGGTGTGACCCAGACTCATTCCTTGCATTGCCAGAAGATGCAGACATTAAGATGGAAACCCTGCCATCCAGGAGGCTTCTCAAAGTCATCGTGGAAGATGTGATAGCAGGTGTGACTGATTGGGAAGACACAGTGTGCTGAAAGTGGAGTCCAGCACCACTGCTGTCCACGGGGGCTGACATCGTGCCAGAGGAATTGTAACTCGTTTGTGAGTTTCTGGTGTCTTGTGAAGTTGTCGGCACATCGTGGATCCTGCCTGGAGACCAAGTGGTGGAGGGGGTGAAACTTGTGTCCAAACCCTTTGAAGTCATCACCCCAAAATTGAATGTGGAGGCCGTAGGAGCAGGAGCGTAGGGAGGTTTTCCCTGTGATGAGGAAGCAGCAGAGGAAGGTGATGTTCTGCCAGCAGGTGCTGAGGAATCCACGGAGCTGGTTGTTTCCTGGGGTACAGTGTTTGTTTGTAAGAGCGACTTGCCAGTGTCTGGAAGAGGAGGCACCGAGTGTGAGTGTGGAGAGGCACGAGGCACCATTAAGACAGCCCCTGTCACCGGGACACTACTTGATATGTGCAAGGAAGTCAAATCCTTGGATAGTTCCACAACATCAATTGTTTGAAAGGTATCAGGTTTTGGAACGAGGGAGGTAGAGGGATTCAAAGGATGTGGCCTTGGGTTGGATGTTCTGCCAGGGGAGAGGACTTCTGTACTGGATTTCAAAGGAGTGGTAGCTGGCCACGGAGCATGGTCAGCACTTGTTTTGGAAGGAAAGGTAGTCTTCTCTGGAGCGATGCTTTCTGACACTGGTGGGTTGAAGGAACGATGTGAGTGGGTTTTAATGTCTTCCGTGGTTGATGGCAGAGACCCTAAGTTGGAAATTTCACCGACCCGTGTTATATGTGGTGTGTTCATAGAAGCGGTGGTATAGAGTGTAACTGCTTCAGGGTACTCTGTGTGTTGAAGAGAACTTGTCCTTGGTGAGACTTCATAACTTGTGGTCAGTGGAGTAGATGTATCTGATAGTGGATTTGTCTGAGTGATTCTGTACACTTTTCCTGTCAGTGAGGTGGTGTTTGAAATTTTGTGGGAATGAGTCTTGTGTGATATGTCCACAGGATTTTCTGTTGAGGTATTAGTCATTACTCCTGTTTGTTCTTGGCTGTCAGAGGCCAACAGTATGGTGGTGATTCTGTTTGGGAAGGCTTTTTTCATGGACTGTGGTTTACCTGTTGTTAATGTTATCCTAGCAGAAATGGCTTTAGTGTCAGATGTTGTTGTGTAATTGCTAGTGTGTACTGTAGATAGGCTAGTACTGTACTCTGTGGATGAGTTAGTCTCCTCAGGCATGGTAGTTTGTAGGTATGTTGGCATCAGCAAGAAAGGTACCTGTGTCTTAATTCTTGTAATGCCAGGTGTAGTCATTGAAGTGGAAACTGTGGTGTCTCCTGTGGATTGCAAGGTCATCGTGGAAGATGTGTTATCAAATCGAGCTGACTCAGTTGGAGTAGTGTTTTGTGTTAGGGTTCCATCTCTCATGGTTTCTACACTAGTCTCTCTTGTATTTGTGGGAACTAGACTTCTTTGTGAGCTTCTTCTGTCTTTTAAAGTGGCCTGGGTTGATAACCCTACAGTGCTCTGGTCCTGAATTGAAGTGATCATAGAAACTACAATTCTTTCCCATCCCTTTGAAGTTGTTTTTAGAATAGAGTTTACAGGAGAGGAATGATTTTGACCAGGTGAAGTAGAAGTCATGGCTGAAGGTATCTTGGTCCCAAATGTAGTTCTTAGGGAATCTGGAGAGGTGATTCTTTCCATAGGTGTAGACCTTGCTTCCAACAGTGCTGTGGGGCTCTGGTCATGAGGTGCAAAGTCTGAGTGTGATTTCTGAACTACATGGGAGTTTGTCTCTGAGACTGAGGGAATGGTTGAAGTATCCCAGGTTAGGGCTCCTTTTAATGTAGAACCAGGATGGCTCATTTTGCTGATCGTAGTCCTGAACACTGCTTCTTTTGTGGTGGGGAAGTTGGAGAGCCTGGTGTTGCTTCCAGTGGAGACATCAGCTGATGTCATTGAGTAAAGAAAGATTTCTGTGGATGATCTGCTTGCTGAGATGTTTTCTGTATTGAAAAGCCCTGTAGACAAGCTAGTGGACACTATAGAAAGTCTATCAGTGTACTCTGTGGGCAAGATTATATCCTCATCCATGCTGGTTTCCAGACTTGTTGTGGTCTGAGTTTCAGTTATAATCAATTCAGAAGATGTTGGTGCTGACTTGTAAAGTATTGTGTTCCCTGTGGTATGTGGGATATTCATGGAAGATAAAAATTTAGACTGAAGTGATTCAGTTAATAAAGTTGACTGAGATTGGGGTTCAGAGCTGCTGGTATTCACAGTGCTCACTACTGATTTTAAGGGATTTTTAAAGGAATGACTCAGCTGTGAATTAAAGATCGTTTGTGAAGTGGTCTGATTTGACTGGGTGCTGGTAGTTCCAGTAGGAATTGAAGTGGTCAGAGATGGTAAACCAGTTTCCAGCATGCTTGAGTTGGTCTCCCCAGCTGTTGTATATGGTGAAACAATAGAATGAAGGGAGGATATTCTCTTTCCTTGTGAGGTTGCCTCAAGTGTAGTCCTTGAGGAATCTGTAGACCTGCTTTCTTCCCTAGGTGGAAAGCTGGTCTGTCCCAGTGCCTGAGGACTATTGGAATTGGGAGTAACATTTGAGTATGAAGAGCCTTTAGACACAGTGATAGTGTCCTCTGTCACAGTAGGGAGTGTGTCTGACAGAAGGGCACTAGTTGATGTAGCCCCAGTATGCATGTCAACTGTTGTAGTGTCAGAAAATGTATTCATTGAAGTAGAAACTATGATCTCCCCCATGGTTTGGGTAATCAATAGGGACAATGTAGTATTAGGTACAACTGACTTAAGTGATACTTGGGGAACAGAGCTGGTGGCTTCCACACTGGTCACTGCTGCTTGCGAGTTTGTGACATTTGAAGTGGCAAAATTTAAAGGACTGATGCTTCTCCGACTTGGAACTGAAGTTGTTGCTGTTTTGCTTGTATCTAACCCTCTTGTGCTTGTTTTGGGTGTTGTTGTGAGCACTGAGACCACAGATCCAGTTGAAGGACTTGCTTCTTGTAATGTTGATGCTACATGAGAAGGCAAGGTTTGTTTGTATTTACTTGATGTAATAAGCCCTTGACAAATGGTAGATAATTATAAAAAGGTAAATCCAATTTTAATGATTGAATAATTACTTCAAGCATGGCCTTCTGCACCTACCTATATACCTACTAGCTGATTAGAATCATATTAAGGCTCACATCTATATTAAAAATATTTTTTTGCATTTATGAAGTAGGAGAAATTTTATAGTGTCATACATCTAAGTTGCTACTTCTCTTATGGAAAAAAAAAATCTAGGGTTGGGGAGATGACTCAATGCCTGCCTATGATTCCAGGTCCAGAGAAGGGAGACAGAGGATTCCCTAGAGAAAGCATGCTAGCAAGCCTAACTATATCAGTGAACTCTGGGTTTGACTGAGTGACCCTGCTTCAATGAATAATGTAGAAGAGTGACTGAGAATAATTTCTGATATTTACTTTGGATATCCACATGCATGCGCGCGTGCACACACACACACATGCACACACACACACACATACACACACGTGTCCCTGAACATACACAAAACATACATATTCTCATATTCTCATACCAAAACGGACAGACATACATACAAATAAAAAATGGAAAAAGAAAAAGATCTACATATATGGGGGCTGAAGAAAGGCTCAATGGATAATAACATTTGGTGCCCAAGCATGAGGACCTGTTTAGATCCCAGTAACCATGTAAATAGCACTGTGGAGTGAAGAAGAGGATCACTGAGGCTTACTGGCCAACATCCTAGCTCCAGGTTCAGTGAGAGACCCTGGAGGGGTGATAATGCAGGAAACCTGATACCCTTCTCTGATCAACTCATGGGCATGTCTGCATCCATAGCTCACATTTGTGCATCCACCACATGAACACACACACACACACACACACACACACACACACATATATATTCAGCATACACAAAAACACACACATGTACACAAATAATATGACTCTAAAGTATCCACATGTTCCTGAGGTTATTTCCCTTCCTACAGGCTCTTGGTATGGGAAAAGCTAGCATTCCTGTGGTGGGATGATTCTGTGACAAAACTGAGCCATTCCAGCCCCTCTTACTAACTGATCAACCTCCCCCCTCAAGATTCCTGTAATCTCCATTATACTCTCTCTACTTCTTTAGGTTTGAATTTCTGGATTCCATGTGAAAGTAAAAACATAAAGAAGCACAATATTTGTCTTTCTGTGCCTTTTTATTTTTTCATTTTGCCTTATGTCTTCCATGTTCATTTTTGTTACAGCAAATGATATAATTTCTTTCCTTCCTTTCTTTCCTCCCCACCCCCGCTCATGTTTAGCAAGGATTTGGCTATGATTGTGGATGTGACGTTTCACTCACTGGAAAGTTATAGATGGACTTGGAGTAAACATCCGTATCTGGTCCTGTTATGATATCCCTGGGGCTTTCTGTACCATCCTAAGCAGGCTGTTTCATTGGGTCCAATGTTGTCTCTCATTCTGAACTTGGATTGCTGAGGAAGAGCTCTATCCCACAAATTCCGAAAATGAAGGTAATGCTCATCTGCCTAAGAACCAGGCTAGAGAGATGGCTCAGTGGTTAGGAGCACATTCTGTTGTTACAGAGAACCCAGATTCAGGTCCCAGTACCCACATGGTGGCTCACAACTGCCTGTGACTCCAGAGTCAGGGGATTGAGTGCTCTCTCTGGCCTTCATGGGCACCAGGCACACACATGGCATAAATGCATGCATACAGGCATTCATACATAAACATAAAATAAAATATTTGTTTTTAAAAAGAATCATTAAGGTAAGTACTTAAATACAAAGCATCATTAAGTATCTGGGCACTAGCAGCTCCAGAATTTTTATACCATAGGGCTTTCTTGTATTATTGTTTTCAGTCACTGCGACATATTAAAAGTAAGTATTTAGGGTTTGTCCTTCGTTTCCAACACATACCTCCTAAACCCTTGCAGTTACCTTAAAATTTTTTCATTTATTATTTTTATTTTATGTGAATGAGTGCCTTGCCTTCCTGTATGTAAGTCAACCTATGCCATGCAATGCCTATGAAGGTTAGAAGAGGGCATTGGATCCCCTGGAACTGGGGTCATGGATGGTTGTTAGCCACCACATGAGAGCTGGGAACTAAACCCCAGTCCTCTGAAAGAGCAACCAGTGCTCTTAACCACTGAGCCATCTCTCCAGTCCCTTGCAGTTTGTTTTGTTTTTGTTTTCTATGGTAGTGTAGCAGATGAGTCAAAACTACCTTTGCCAAAATGCATTGATTCCTCCCTCTGGCCCACAGGATGACTAAAAGCAAGATAAAAACTTTACATCTTGCTGCACTAGGTATGCAAAAGAATGGGATCATGAGCTCATCAACATTTAGGCACGGATGGAGAGAATCAGAGAGGGACCTGACCCTCACTGATGAACTCTTTACTGCTAATAGATTCAAGGACAGGGTGTCACTGCTTTCATTTGTGTACTCGCTAGTGACCTCATCAAACTTCAATGGACAGTTCCAAACTTATGGTCACACAGAGGGTCCTGGTTAAACTAAATGGGTCACACAACTAAACCAAAAGTCATGAATCTTGGAAAAAGACTAGTAAGGTGGAGAAGGATTAATAAGGACAGGCCAGAACTAGGCAGAAGAAGTAATCATGCTGCATTACATCCATGTATGAATTGTCAAAGAACAAGTTTAATTTTAAAAACTGACATCTTTGCCTTCATTTTGCATCTTTTTCCTTTAAAAATGTTACTGTTGCTTCACTCCGAGACTGTGTGAGAATGCTTGACTTGACCTCCTGGAATGAGCTGTGCAAATCCTGCTGCACCCATTCCCCTGCTTTGCCCGCTCCAGAGCTTAGGCTTTCCTTGCTGGAAACTAGGTACCAGCACACCCTTTACCCACCTCCCGCCCTTGGCCCTTGGCCCTATCCTTCTGAGGCTACTGAAGTGCAACGAACTAGATAGGGCCCATTCACCCACTGGGAGATCACCTGAGTAGCCTGCCTGAATCCATCTGCTCCCTCCAATGTAAAATCAAGAGATAACCTGAAGCCTAGACCAACTAACTTTTCATACCCAATCATAAAGCAAGCAAGATACATCAACAACACAAACAGAATCACACTTGCAGTCTTGAGTTTCATACCAGAATCACAAGCAACAAAAGAAATCCACATGCCAAAGTGGCAACAAAAATAATAATGATATGAAAAAACAAAATATGTCTCCACCAAGTACCACCAGTTCTGTGGAAGAAATCTACAATGAGGACTCCCTAGAGCTAAAGCAGCATA